TGTGTGTGTGTGTGTGTGTGTGTGTGTGTGTGTGTGTGTGTGTGTGTCCAGGTCTGGTCCTCTGTTTAACACGGGCTTCCTGAGGAGGATGCTGTCGGCGGCAGTGCAGCACAGCATGGACGACATCCAGGCGCTCGTCAAAAATCTCATCTGCGAGTCCGACTGCACCACCCTCAAGTCTTTAGTCCACGGGCCGTCCGCTCTCACCAACCAGGGTGAAGCGATCACACCTCTCCTCAGTAACGCACACGCCTGATGTTTGCATGACGAAACTACCTCGCTTACAGAACATTGTGTCTCCTCTCTGCAGTGGAGTGCGGCGTCGTCATCAAGACCTTACAGAGCGGAGAGGAGTCGGGTCCCGCTGAGCAGTCTGGTGAGTCACTCACAGGTTTATTAACCCGTGTGATCATCTCAAGTTCTTTTCAGAATTGAATTCAGCATTAGTTTTTCTTATTTCTGTTGTACATATTAACACATAAGTTCTGGAAAACCAGATTTGAGTTTTTTGCTCAAACTAGCTTGTATGTGTCTCTTTTGGAGTGGAAAGATAAGATAAGATGGAACTTAAGTTGTAACGAGGGAGAGTGTTGAGCTGCAGTTGCATAACAACGATATCAAATGAAAATTCTAACCAAATGTACACAATGCCAGGTATATAAACAAGCTAAACGGTAAGGACCACACATATGAAGGAGCAGTGGCATGTACGTAGCTATGCTTGTACCATATCTTAGTACAGGTGAGTGTACCTGGTTCATTCCAAATGTCCAGTGACTATGTCCATGAGTTATTCAAAAAGTCAGTTAAGTCAAATTCCTTGTTCCTTCCTCAGCCGTGATGTAATAGCCAAGTGGAAGCAGCGTCCACCGGCTGACCTCACGTGGATGCCTCTCAGTTTAGTTTTTGTTTCAGATCTCATTTTCTTTCTTTCTTTCTTTCTGCAGGTAAGAGGAAGATGGGAGAAGAGTCGGGGAATGTAGTGAAGAGGATGAAGTCCGATGGGTCTCTGAATCACCCGCCCTTCTACTATAGCATTCACCGCCACAGCATCAGAGGCATGAACATGCCCAAGTAAGTGACCTATGACCTCAGATGTTTTATAGTGTCATGTATCGTGTCCACACTCAAACCAAGAGTGAATGCCAGCAAGTATTGTGTGTGTGTGTATCAATGCCTGATATATCTTCTTCTTCTGCGCCATTGTTGTCCAGAAACTATTAAAAACACATCAGTGAGCCACACTGTTGCACTGGGTGACATGCTCCTTCATCCCCATGAACACACACTGTAGTCAATTCTGACTCAATCCCACATACACCCTCCTCCTGCCAACAATACTCACTAGAGCAACAAATGTGGATTCATTTGCTGCTGAAAATAGTCCTCAACAAATGCACTATTTACTTATGTTTGATTAAAAACTACAGTAACCAGCTGTTTTAGAAAGTGACTGAGTCTTTTCTTTTTTAAATATGAAGCTATATATTTGTGAGGTGTTTTTAAAGATTTACTTCTTCAGTAGGAACCAATGGGCTTGGAGCTGAGAGCCACAGACAGGAACATTTTATTTATGTTCATTAAGTCTTTTTATCGTTTACAGGTTGAACAAGTTTCTTCAGTACCTGACGGAGGCCGGCTTCAGGGTGAGTCGGACTCACTTCGACCCGACGGGGGTTCGAACCGACGCCACGCTGGAGCAGTTCAAGTCTGTCCTCACCAAGTACAGCGTCCCCACGTATACCAATGCCACCACCATGCAGACGAGCGTGAGCACGGAGAACACTTTGTGAGAGAAACGAGCAGGAAGGAGCTTGATTCACACGCTTTGATGAACAAAGTAGATCTGCTCGTCCCGTTTCTACTCCACTTGGACTGTTTCTATTAACCTAAACAAAGTTCTGACTGCACTGATGTCTAAAACAAACCCACCAACTGCTCTCTATGTGGACGTGCATATACTAGAACAAAGTAGTAATCTGATGTAATCAAACCAAAACTTTCTTAAAACTGCAAACCAAACTGATCCTGCTGCACAAATGAGCCCAACTGATCCACTGTTCCTATTTATTTCTGACTTCTCTTGAAAATTCATTGGTTACAAGATTGTTTTCTTCTCTTCTAGATGGTTTTTATCATCTTTTTTTTGTTTCTCCTGTCTTATAAAGGCAAAATAAAGTTTATCTGCCAAGCCTGAATTTGCTGAATTGTCATGTATGTGATGTCCTGCAATTCTTTACCGAGTCTGAGAAAGACAAACACACGCAGATGTATTTATAAGACACAATTAGATAAAATTACAAAACAGACATCATAATGCAAAACAAGTTTATTTGTGTGGCACCTTTCAACAAGGCAATTCAAAGTGCCTCAAGATATAAAATGTGTTGGGAAAAGATACAGAAGAAACAAACCAATACAGAAAGACGTAAATATATTAAGATAAATCTGGCAGAATAAAAGTTACAGTGCAGTGCAAGATGTGAACAAATAGTTCCAAGTTAAAGTTCTGCAAACAGCCCTGATTTCAAAGAACAGAGGGTCTGTGAGTTTGTTTCAGATATGGGCATCATACAAAGTGAAGTGCTGCTTCTGTGTGTTTAGACTGCATAGGGGCGGAATGCAGACCTGAACCCAGATCATCTGAGACCTGAACCTGAGAGGTCTGGATGGTTCATAACGAGCAGCAGATCAGACAGAAGGACACTCAATAGATATACAAAGAAATAAATGAACAAATACCGAAAAAAAGTAAGAACAAACTGAATTAATTCATAATTTGTATTAATAATCTGAATAAGTAAAGTAACCAACTAATACCAAATAAATATAGTTTAGTAAAAAGTACAACATTTCCCTCTGAGATGAAGTAGGTAGAAGTATAAAGTACAGACAAGTAAAACATAGTACTTTCGAAATTGTACTAGTTACTTTCCACCTCTGCAAAAGATGAATTATTATTATTAGAAGTAGCCTAATTTAGAGCACAAATTAGTATTCTGATGTCAGAACTCATCCCCCTCAACCGGTGTATGATACTTGATTCAAATTAAATTGAATGGTGTCAAATCCATACGTCGTCGGATCACTCACTGTTGAATTACGTCATTAGAGCAGAAAAAGTGAGCTGGCTTTTCTGGCTGGGCGTCACTGCATGGCACAGTGTTTGAAAGAGGAGGAGGAGAAGGAGGAGGAAGAGGGCGTGTTCCTCCTCCCTCTCTCCCTCACTGCTGCTGCACATCGATGTGTCGGTGTCTGTAGGCTACCTGAGGACTGAACCCTAACCTGTGTATCCTCTCCCAGCAGCAGCGCCATGGGGATCTCCGCGTCCAGTCTGCTCGATGAGACCACATCCAACTACATCAAAGGTAAACACATAAATATTCATATTTAACAAGCATAATAGATAACAATACAAACATTCACGGGTTGGAGCGCGTTTGGAGCGACGCGGCGAGGACGCACCGCGTTTCCTTTAACACACAATCTCCGTTTATTTCTACGGGGAACTTCCACTTCTTTATCGTTGTGTTCTCGTGGAGCTTCGTGTCTTGAGTGTTAGTGACGAGTGGATCTGTGAATGTCATCTTCTCTTCCGATTGATCGGAATCTCGGAGTCTCATTCAAATCTGGTTTTAACGTGTTGACGTCACTCGGCTGAGAGTTTCTGTGGAAACAAACAGCTGTTCAATTTCACCTGAACTTATTTCCAGACATCTGAATCTGTCAGTCGGGCTGCTGGAACCCGTCTGTCTGGTCTTCTTTTATGTTTCCACGGAAATCTTCTCCTAGACTTAAATCTGACCTTCCTCCTGTATGTCTGACCTTGGCAGGTGACAAACCCATGAGGGGATTTGATGCTGCTGTCAGTGTTTGCAGCTCAGCTATCTAAAGGGGCTGATCAGGTCACTCCTGCCTTTCCAGTCCTGCAGGGGGGGGGGGGAACAAGAGTGCCAAGCCCTGTTTCCCCCTTTGTCTTCTGTGTCCTCTGCTGCTGGGTGTGTCCCATGGGTGGATGCATGGAGTGGACAAAAGGTGCCTCTGTTGTTGTCATTGTGTGCAACTGACAAACAGAGAGGCGGGGATGCTAACAGGTGTTTCATAAAGGGATGCTGCATGTGCCAACATGATGATATGTAACGCTGCTGCTTTATTTGTGATGTCGGTGTTTAAATGTGCATATATAAGATGAATCAGCAGGACGTTTGGAGACCATATAATCAGTCATATCCCACATATAGTCCAGGGCTGATCCAAGCCTTTGTGGGGGGGGGGGGGGGGGGTAAGCAGAACCCCTTAGGTTGTTAGGTGACCAGCTGGTGGCTGAAGATCCCCCTGTGCTTTCAGGTCAGGTCCGGCACCATGTTTGTACATCTCGTGTAGTGGGATCATATTCCAGTAACCGTTCTCACCATCTGATTTTCTCACAGACACATGCCTGTAAAGGTTTGAAACGTTAGTGCAGTTTTGAAGGTATTTGAGCTTTTTTTAAAATCCATGACCATTTCCTACTTTATTAACAAATGAAAAAAGACTGTAGCCTTGTTGATTTTGTTCCAAACAAGAACATTATCAATGGGTTTTTTGGGCATGAAAATATAAGATAACGGAAAGGGACGTCAATTACTGATTAGGGCTGTAGCTAAGGACTCATTGAAAACACCTTCAAATGTCAAACTTCTCTCGGTTTCAAAAGACAGCTGCATAGTTGTTGATGCAGCTCAGTGTTGTGTGCCGGTTCTGGTGCTGTGTCAGTGTTGACTGAACGTGTTGGCACAACAGAGAGAGGATAAGACAGCCAGCAGGTCCCCAGCAGAGACCAGCTGACTGGAGACATTTATGTCCTTGTATGTTTTTACAGGTGTGTGTGTGTATATAGATCAGGGCTGCAACTATCACTTTAACTGTCACTTTCTCAATGAATCGCTTAGTCTATAAAACAGAAAAACCCATCCAAATCTTCACATGTCTTGTTTAGTCCAAAATATATTACATTTACTCTAATGTAAGAGAAGTAAAAAGGCAGCAAATCTTTGCCAACAGCTGCCAATGAATTTTGTTTGAATGGACGAGTTGTTGCGGCTCTGGTTTGGATGCATCTATGTTCTGCAGGGATGGATGATCCACTCGCTGCAGAGATA